GTCTCGCCAAGCTGCCCAGGCGGGTCTCAAACCCACGGGCTCAGGCAATCCACTCACCTCAGCCTCCCAAAATGCTGGGATTACAGGTTGAGTCGCCGAGCCCAGCTCTACTGTAAAATGTTTACCCCTCCCTTAAGATCCAGCTTAAGGCCAGGCGTGGTGGCTCAAGTCTGTAATCCCAGCACTTTAGGAGGCTAAGGCGAGAGGATTTCCTGAGCCCAGGGATTCAGGACCAGCCTGGGCAACTTGGCGAGACCTTGTCTCTACCGTAAATCAAAAAATTAACCAGGCATGGTGACGTATGCCTTTAGTTCCAGCTACTTGGAAGACTGAGGTGGAAGGATCGCCTGAGCCCAGCAGGTTGAAGCTGTGGTGGCCGTGAGCATGCCACTGCATTCCAGCCTGGGCAACAGAGTTAGACTCCAACTCAAAAAAAAAAAAAAAAAGACCCCGTTTAGCACATCTTCTGAGTCCCCTAGATGAGTGGGTATCCTTTCTTCTCATAACATTTTGTGCATACTTCCACCATAGCAATTAACACCAATTTTAGTTAATTGCCTATTCAGCTGCTGGGCTTTAGATATAGAAAGCAGAGAAAGTATATATATTATGTTATATTATATGTATGTGCATATCTTTCATCCCTATGACCTCATCCTATTATTCAGTGTTCCAGTATTTGAGTTGGCTAATAAAAGAACAAATAGCTGGATGAATAGATTCTGAAGGACAATGCAGTGAAGGAAGGCCATAACGGGTTATTCTCCCATGTGCAGATGTAGGCAAGGATGGGAAGGCTAAAATAACGGAAGAGAGGAGGAGAACAAATTTGGTTAGAAGGAGAAGTATATGTAAAGCAAAGAGGAGTGAGCCGGGTACAGGGCTCATGCCTGTAATCCCAGGTTTTGAAAGGCCAAGTCAGGAGGATTGCTTAAGCCCAGGAGTTCAAGACCAGCCTGGGCAACATAGCAAGACCTCGTCTCTTCCAAAAAATCAAAAAATTAGCCAGACGTAGTGGTGCATGCCTGTGGTGCCACCTACACAGAGGTGAGACTCTGACTCAAAAAAAATGCTGAGAAGTAAATTCTAAGTGCCATATATATAACAGAAGCTCTGAAAAGGGAGAATATACTGATGATCTTCTCTTTAAGATGGAAAGATGAACCTGGAAGACATTATGCTATGTGAAATAAGTGAGGCACAAAAGAAAAATATTGCATGATTTCACATATGGAATCTTTTTTAAAAAAAAAAAGTCAAACATGCAGAGACAGTGAATAAAACAATGGTACTAGAGGTGGGCTTGGGGGAGGAAATGGGGAGATATAAGTCATAGAATAAAATGTAGCAGATAGAGGTCAGGCATGGTGGCTCACGCCTGTAATCCCAACCAAGGCAAGAGGATTGCCTGAGCCAAGTGGTTTAAGACCAGCCCAGGCAACTTGGTGAGACCTCATTTCAACAATAAATTAAAAAAAAAAAAAAATTAGCAGAGCAAGGTGGCATGCATCTCTAGTCCCATCTACTTGGAAGAAGTTTCGTCTGAACCCAGTAGGTCAAGGCTGCAGCCTTGGTGACAGAGTAAGACTTAAAATTTAAAAAAAAATAATAAAGGCTAGGAGCCGTGGCTCAAGCCTATAATCCCAGCACTCTGGGGAGCTGAGGCGACAGGATTGCCTGAGTCCACGGGTTCGAGACCAGCCTAGGCAACATGGTGAGACCTTGTCTTTATAATAAATCAAAAAATTAGCCAAACATGGTAGCACACAGCTAGTTGGAAGGCTGAGGGGGAAGGACCATCTAAACCCAGCAGATTGTGCCACTGTACTCCAGCCTGGATGATGGAGTGAGATTCCAACTCAAAAAAAAAAAAAAAGTAGCAGATATGTAGAATGAAAAAGTGTAGTGATCTAATATGAGGATGGCAGGTAATAAAATGGTATTATATTTGGGATTCATGCTAAATGAATAGGTTTCAGCTGTTCTTTAGTCACAAAAACAGATGGATAACTATGTGAGACAGTGGATACATTCATTTGTTCCAATATAGTAGCAATTTTACTTTCAATATGCATTCAACATATACAACATTATGTTGTATAGTTTAAATATATACATTTATACATATGAGAAAGCATAAATAGGCGTTAGACATAGAAAAATGAGGCAAACCAGAGATCAATCTTCATATGTCAACACCATAGAAATAATCTGTGCTCAAACATGAATTTTTTCAGATATTCCCATTCAAACATGAATAGCACCCCCAATGTCTACCGATTCCTGATGCTTCCTTCAATTAGGGAAGAGGAAAAGGAAATGTTCATGGCCACCTAAAGCCTCATAACATGACCATTGTTGAATACTTGGAAGGCTGAGGCGGAAGGATCGCCGGAGCCCAGAGGCTGCAATGGTTGGGAGCAGCCACTGCACTCCAGTCTGGGCAACAGAGTGAGACTCCAACTCAAAAATAAAATAAAATAAAATAAAATAAAAGTAAATACAGTGGTATGGAGAGCTTCATTAAAAACAAGACCTGAAGGTGGAAAAGGAGGGTGGTATAAAAATCAGGGGTTGGGGGGACATTCCAGGCAAAGATAACCCCCAGTACAAAAAGACATGAGAAAGCAAGGAAAAAGCACACCGAAGAATTGAAGGATCATCACTTGCAGGCCTGTGTCTCTTACTTCTTCCAGAAAGATAATTAGTGAATACTAGATAATACACATGAGACAAAGCCCCTCTCTGGCCTCAGCCAAGAAATCTCAGAGGTCGGAGAGTTCTGTAATCAGATCTTTGATTCTGAGAGACGTATGTGTTTTAGGTAGGCTAGCTACAGTAGGTTGAGTAGTGCCCTTCCCCCAAGTTCATGGCCACCCAGAGCCTCATAATATGACCATTGTTGAATACTTTCGGATGTAATTACTTAAGAACTTCAGTGAGATCAACCCCGACTGGTCCACCCTACATAGTGTTCTTACAAGAAGAGAGAACCCAGTGAGATACACAAAAGAAGGTGATATGAAGACCAGGTGGAAATGGGATGGATGTGTCTATAAGCCCAGCCTCCAGAAGATGCCAACACTACCCACGCCTTGATTTCAGACTTCTAGTCTCCTGAATCATGAAAGAATAAATTCTTGTTTCAAGTCACCCAGTTGTGGCAATTGTTATGCTAGAAAACTATTACAACAGGTGTCTGGATTTGGCTACCTTTGTAACTGCTCTTTGTGATCAATAAATGTGTCCTGGATATTTGCATTTATGCTCCTAGAACGCATTTCACATTCTGTGGAAAACATTTCAGATTTGCTTTGGGGAAGCCTCTTTCACCTGTCCCTTTCCCCAAACCAGCCCATGTGTTTCCAATAACACTGAATACATTTTCAACTTCAGGGACCTATCACATAGGTCAAAGCCAATCAGCACATTTTATCCTACCGACCTCAGAGAATGTTCACAGCAAATGAGACAAAACTTATATTGTTAGCTATTACAGAGCTGTATCTTTTTATTCCCACTGGATTGGAACCTACGATAAGAGACTGGGGAGGCTGCTAATATCCTGCCATCGTGTAGAACTTGGGACTATGAGGACTACTGGAAGGAAGAGAAACCAAGTCCTGGTGAGGTCACGTGACCTCCAAATCTCACTAAGCTTGGGGCTGACCCGCGTCGGCCTTCAACACATCAATAAGCGTACCTGGTCTCAAACCAGGCAAAGTGAGGACCAAAGGGAGGCCCAAACTTTACTTGTATGATGTCCACTTGTATACCTCTTCCTGAACTGTACCCCACATCTTTAAAAAGAACAACAACCAAAAAAAACCACAAAACTCCTAATGAGTCAATACATTCTCTTTTTGCTATTTTGAGTTGTCTCCTAAAACATTCAAACAAAAGAATTCTGAGAAAATAGGCCCCCACTGGGTTTATCACCTTCATTATTTTGATTACTGATTAAGTGTACATATCACTTGCATCAACACTGGCGATATGTTTAGTCTCAAGGACTGCTGCTTACCTTATACCTCAGTGTCCCCCGCAACAAAGTGTGAGCAGACGGAATGCCATAAATCTCAGCATATTTTGTACTGTCTCTGTTAGGATAGCCTTCCAGATTTAACCCCGGGAAAAAATCCATGGAAGTAACTGCGTCAAGAAAGGAGACTCCCCCTGCAACGTTCACAACCTGAGGCACATTGAAAAGGTACACACAGGGTTTCAACAACTTGTTCCTTTAGGGCTTATCTGCATTCCTTGCACAAAAGAAAGCAACAAGAAATTGAAAAAATAATAATAATAATGAAACCATGATAATCAGCATCCCATACTCAAGTTGTTCTACTAATATTATCATTTAAAAAACCATTGTTCTCCCAAGCTTAAAATTTGACTTAAAGCATTTAGCTTTTCTTTTCTTTTCTTTTTTTTTTTGAGTTGGAGTCTCACCCTGTCGCCCAGGCTGTAGTGCAGTGGCACTCTCACGGCCACCCCAGTGTCGACCTGCTGGGCTCAGGTGATCCTTCCACCTCAGCCTTCCAAGGACGGGAACTACAGGCACGCCACCATGCCTGGCTAATTTTTTTTATTCATTGTAGAAACGAGGTCTCGCCAAGTTGCCCAGGCTGGTGTCAAACCCGCCGTCTCAGGTAATCCACTCGTCTCGGCCTCCCAAAGTGCTCAAGCCACTGAGCTCGGCGGCATTTAGTTTTTCTAAACCTAAGGTCTTGGCCGGGCATAGTGGTTCAACACCTGTAGCCCCAGCACTTTGTGAGGTTGAGTTGGGAGGATCGCTTGAGCCCAGGAGTTCAAGACTAGCCTGGGCAGCATGGTGAGAGCCCCCCCGCCTCTCTAAAAATATTAAAAAATGAACCAGGCATAATGGTGCACACCTGTGGTCCCAGCTACTTGGGAGGCTGACGTGGAAGGGTCATCTGAGCTCAAGAGGTTGAGACTGTGGTGAGTCATAAACATTCTACTGCACTCAAGACCCCGAATCAAAAAAAAAAGCAGTGAAGTATTTTTGTGTCTTTAATTTTAAAGGATTAAATTTTCTTTTAGTTTGTGAGGTTCATGATTGGTCTTAAGATAACAGAAACAAATCTGGAGTGATAAAATCAGGGCTGAGAATTCTGGTTGAGGCCACTGGTAGAACTGGATTTTTTTACTGACTACACAACTAAAAACAATTTCTGATCAATTTCTCAAAACAACGCTGTACCAGGGAGCTGCCAAGGTACCTTAAGATGGACTCCCAGGAACTAGTCTGAAGGACTTTTTGGCTAAACTTCATCAAATGATTCTCATAGTTTATTTGTAAATAAGTTCTGCACGTGTCTCTGTATGAGAGAAAAAAATGGTGACTCGTTTATATATGGCGGAAGCCCAGAGAAAAAAGGGTTATACTGACTGCAGTGTCAAGACCGATAGAGTCTTTTCAGTTCAAGGGCTCACTTTGCAGAGCACTGATCACCATTTAACATTTTAAGAATGAGAATCTGAAGGATGTGAGGAATGTTTTTAATTAACTTTCTTATAAAATTCTGGATCATGTGCACAGTACACATTCCCAGAGAGATCATTTCTGCACTACTTCTTTTTTAAAAAAATTTATTTAATAGAATTTTAATGTTTAAAAACATTTAATAAAGAAAACAAATTGGGGCGTGGAGGTGCACACCTGCATAACAGCAATTCAGCTCAGGTGACTGAGGAGGAAGAATCACTTGATCCCAGGAGTTCAAGATCAGCCTGGGTAACACAGCATCATCCCATCTTTTAAAATAAAATTATATTTTTAAAAAAGCAAATGTTGATCTTTGGCATCTCCATACTCATCTCACTTCTATAACCTAACGAAAATTCCAAGTGTTGTTTGTTTGAAGGTCAGGAACATTTTTAAAATAAAATTCAAGAAAGAGCACAATATTCTAGCATTTTACCAACTAGAACTAAATCAGTTAGTCCATAAGTCTGTCATGAAATCCCTATGTAGAAAATACGGAAATGTAAGCTGAAGGGTGATGATCTATTTAGAGAGATTGGCAGTTGGTTATGCAAATTGACCCCAAAATTACTGGATAATCATTATCATTTGATATCAATTCAGAGTTGTATTTCTAGTGGCACATTATGTGGTTCAATAATAAGCCCTGTCCTGTTTAGTATTTTATTAATGATTTGGATAAAGAAAGAGAGACATATTTGTCAATTTTTTAGCAAATAAACATTTCTTTCTGCCCTGACAATACTCAGGCTCATTACTCACTGCTGCTGCCGGCTTAAGTCAAACTCTTTAACAAACACACATCTCCCAAACACTGAGAATCACTGCCATATGTTATTTTAGGATACATATTCAAATAATCACAGTCAGCTTGATCACTAAACTTTTGAGGAATTTAACACAGGAAATATACAATAACTTATTCAGGACCCACTATGTGCCAGATACTTCATATATATTATCTTTAATCCATGCAATAATCCATTTGTCAGAGGTGAAAGCAGGTTGAAGAAGACACTCAGATGCATATTTGAACCCAAATATCTGACTCCAGTGTCCATGTTTTTTCTATTAGACAAGTTTTTTCTATCAGTGTGGACTGTCCCCTCAGTTGTGCTTAGTCTTGAATCAGCATTTTGAAAGAGAAACTGAAAATAGGACAGCATTCCAGATTATGCCACCAGTGACACATCTGAAAACTGCAATAAGAATGGATGAATCTAACCAAGTATGGTGGCTCATGCCTACAATCCCAGCACTTTGGGAGGCAGAGGTGAGAGGATTGCCTGAGCTCACGGATGTGAGACCAGCCTGGACAACTTGGTGAGACCTCATCTCTACAATAAATCAAAAAAGTAGCCAGGCATTGTGGCACATGCCTGTAGTCCTGGCTACTTAGAAGGCTAAGACAGAAGGATCACCTGAGCCCAGCAGGTCGAGGCTGCAGTGACTATAAGTGCGCCACTACACTCCAGCCTGGGCGGCAGAGTGAGACTCTGACTCAGAAAAAGATTAAACAGGATATACACACTCATGAATTTAATTTCTTCAAAATTAAAACGTCAGTTTTATCAAAAGACACCATTTATAAAATGAAAAAGGATGACATCACTCATCATATCACTGCCAGATGTCACCAACATAAGAAAGTAAACCAGCCCCTGTGGAGCGAATAAACTAAGAGAAGATGAAATCACTATCTCCAATTATGTAAAAGAAAATTAGATTTGTTAGATACTGGATTAGAAGTTAGAAATAATTCAAGTGGCCAAAAATTACTGCAAAGGTACAGGACAATAAGATATGTTCTAATTCATAGGCCACTGCTTAATTTCGGCAAAATTTTATGGCTTCAACTTTAAGCAGAAGCCAGAAAAGCCACATGGCTCCCCAGTTACTATTCTGTTAATTATTTATGGCCTGCTCTGGGTGGAAGGTGGTGGTGGCAGAGGGAGTGAAGGGACAAGAAGACAAGGGAGATTTTAAGACGTTTAACAATCTGGCTTGGGAGACAGACTGACACACTTGAATTACTGAATGAATAATACAGCACCTGGAAAATTCTGAGATACAGAAAAAGTGCCCGACACTTTGACTGAGTTCAGACAAAATAATAGTGAACGAGGGCTGGAGTGATCAGGAAAAGCTCCATCTGCAAAGAACTTAAGTGGGACCTTGAAAAAGATATCATTTTACCAAAGAAAAGCATATTGTTTCTTCTCTTGGCATCCTCCACAGTGTCAGGGAGATGCAAAAAGTATTTTTTTTTTTTTAATAAAAGAAGTTCAGGATGAAGGGGGAAAACTTCAAATTCAACGAATACAACTTCTGCTACCTAAAATTTACCTCTTGCTTTTCTTGAGCTCTCAAGACCACTAATTTCATTATGTAACTGATGTTTGCTAGATTGATGACATGTCTGATAATGGGCTGTTAGGCAGATTGTAATCCATACGGTCTCATTGAGCAAGAACCCTGGGAGGCTGGCATTATTGCCTTATCTTCAACAAGGAACCCGAAGCTCACTCAACCAGTAACCAAGAAATCAGAGCACAAAGCCAGCCCTGACATCAAGTCCCTTGCTCTTTCTTTTACATGGTCGTCAACTGCTGACCCTTTTATTGTGCTCATCTTTATTGTTTATAAGGCCACCTGCAAATATGCATTTTACCCAATTGAAGCAAGATATTTTTTTTCCCTACCCTCACATATTATTTTATACCCATCAGGCCCTTTCTCTTCCAAGACTGCAGAAGGTAGAAGGAGCTGTTGAAATGCAACAGTACACAGGCCTTAGCACGTAAAAGGAAGTGTGCTTGGTAGAACAGCAGACTGACTCTGGCCCAAACCTTCATGATTCACAGAACTAGAGAAGTGGATGGAAATTCACCACTCACATTACACATGAGATTGACGTCCGGTGGACTTTTACAACTGCCTGGTCTTTGGAGACACTGTGAGGGATGCTAGTGCTTGGACCAGAACTTGCTGGTCCTGTTTATTATCCTGACACGTGTAATGCATTATTCCAACATCAACCTAAAATGTCCTGCTTGTTTAGTAACATTTTAAGTGTAGCTGTGGTTTTCTGATCATTAAATTAGTTGCTCTTAATTCAGCTGCATATTAACATCACTTGGGAAGAATTAAAAAATTCCAGAACCCTGGAATTTCAGAATCTTTGGGCATGAGGCTCAGTCATCAGTACTTTTAAAACATTCCTTATGATTTCAATGTACAGCCAAGTCTGTGAGTCAAGCTCTATATCATAGGTACAAATTTCTAAAATACATTTAGATTCACAGATAATTGAGAATTCATAATACCCAGGCCAGAATAATTTTTTCAAGACACACATCAGATCATATCACTCATCACTCCCTACAGGACCAGGGCTTGGTCGGGTAAGGCAAGTGAAGTGCCTAGAACACACAATTCAAAGAGCCACCCTCAGTTTGTCACATCTTTTTCTAAAATATGAGGGGACCCAAAAAAGCCCAGAATTATATTTTGGAGGGTAAGCCCATTGTAGTATAGCCTTCTCCCACTAGGTAAGTGTTCTAGGAACCCATCAGCTTCAGTGTACCTGCTAGCATTGTTGTGAGAGGCTATATTAGGCTTCAGTGCATTTTTTTTGGAGATTCCTTCTACACATTTGCCCATTTCATGATGGGTGGTTTAGGAACGCACCTTCCCACACTGCAATGAATGTTCAGCAATTTTTGACTAAAAATGACACAGCCCTCTTTCCCCATCCTCCCTATTCAGCCCATCTTGCCCCAAATGACTTTTTTTTCGTTTCCCCGATGAAAAAAGTCCTCAAAGGGAAACGTTTTGCCAATGTGGAAGAGGTGAAGCAAAAAATGGCAGAAGCACTAAAAGGTATCAAAATGGACGAGTTCAAAAACTGTTTTGAGCAGTGGAAAAAGCATCTTGATAGGTGTATTATATCAAAATGAGAGTACTTTTGAAGGTGACTGAGTTTAAACATGTAAGAATAAATACACAATTTTTGTATAAATACAAAATGAGTCTTTTCTTATTGTTAGGAGCATAGACAGATGTGATTTAATGCTGGCTCTGCTACTTGGTAGTCTCTTTAACTGTGGCTGCTCTCTGAGCTTCCTATGCCTGATTTCTACCTTATAAACTCTATATCACCATTCTATAAACTCTATATCAGCATCCCTACCTGGCTGGCAGTCTCTTATCCTCAAGGCCGAGTACACCCTCTTCTCCACAAGTTTTCCTTCTCCACACCCTCCCTTCCCTCCAACTCTTCACCAAGGACAAACCAATTGCCCTCTCATCTGTACTTCTGTGGCACTTTTGCATACTTTGGAATTTTCCCCACTGGATTACAGTTATTTATTCCAGTGTCTGTCTTTCCTGCCATTGAGTGATCTATTTATTCCAGTGTCTGTCTTTCTTGCCATTGAGCGATCTGGCAAAAGAAGAAAGAAAAGGTTTCAGACTTAGTTAGACTGGGTTTGAATCCCAGTCAAATAACCTTAGACGTTCTCTCTGAGTCATGACTTCCTTACTGTAAAATGAAGAAAATTATACTACACTCAGAGAGTTCTTATGCTCTGTTATACTGCAGCTGAGAAATAAACTTTGATTTCTTTCCCTGACCCACAAAACCCTCCGTTTCAAGAGCTGACTCCATCCACCCATTCAGCTGAATGTTCTGAGGTCAGGAATTTCATTCACTGTGACAATCTTGGGTGCCTCATCCAAAGTCCAGCACACAATAGGTACTCAGAAAATGTTTATCATGCTGAAATAAGTTAGGAGATGATCACTGTGTATGCCCATAGAGAAATGGAGAAGCAAATTTTCAAGTGGCAGAAAACAATTTGCAAGAATATAGAGGGAAGAATAAGCACAACTTTGCTGGGAACCACACTAATGGAACAGAAAATGCACTCAGGAGGAGGTAATGGGGACAGGCAGCATGGCAGTTATTAAAGGGCCTTGGTATCAGGAAGAAAGAATTTGGACTGTCTCAGGCAGTTATTGCAGGTTGATATCACTATGCTTCTATGACATTCTTTCACCTTTCCATTGAGCAGGTAGGTGGCAGGCTGCATTATATTCATCAAAACTCCCACTGGACTCCAGCTAAATTTATATCTCAATGGATTGTTTGAATGTTCAGGGGCTGGAAGTCCACCGCAGTAGGAAATATACGATTCAATCTGTAAATTAAAGAATAAGTTAGAAAGAATTAACAACACGTTAGGGAGAATCATGTATCTAAGTAATTAATTGGAATGAATGGAGTAAACATGCTTCAACTTTCATAAAGTGATTAAGGCTTTCAAAAATCCTTAAAGCCAAATGTCATTTGATTAAGTCACCATTATATTTTACATATATAAAAAGAAAAACAAAAAAATCCTAGAGAGATAGTGACTAACATTTTGATCAGTTAAAAATCCAACTATGGCTGGGCACAGTGGCACATGCCTATAGTCCCAGCACTTTGGGAGGTTGAGGCAAGAGGATTGCCTGAACCCTGGGGTTCAAGATCAGCCTGGGCAACTTGGCGAGACATCATCTCCACAATAAACCAAAAAAAATTAGCCAGGTGTGGTGGCGCACGCCTGTAGTTCCAGCTGCTTGGAAGGCTGAGGTGGAGGATTGCCTAAGCCCAGCAGGTTGAGGCTGTGTACCTCTACATCCCAGCTGGGGTGACAGAGTGAGACTCCAATTCAAAAAAAAAAAAAATCCAGCTATGAGTTTAATTCTACTTGGTGAGTTCCTACTAACTTTGGTATTCAAATTATGTATTTGATTATATATACTTATATATTCAAGAATATAGAACATTTCATCTGAATCATCACATTTACATATCCAATAGTACCTTGTCATGTGCAAAAGATAATTCATATACCAACAGATTCGTGATATCCAAAGATTTTCCCCACTTTTAAAAGTCAATTCTTATTATAGAATCTCCAAGGTAGTCTAAAAATTGTATTAAGCCAAAATATTATAGTAGCATCTATTTCTCTAAAAATTGGTGACTACCCACATTATTTCTTACTATACAGATATTTCCATAGCTACAGACTTCTATTTGAAATTTCTACTCAAAGTATGAGTTATACAGCAACATCTTTCATCAAAATTACGGACAGATTATTTCTATACACAGGAAACTGGATCTTTTGATATTTTCCTAAACGGAACTTTGAGTGTAAACTTAGCTCACTGTGGCTCCCACTTCTTTGGCCTTGTCTATTGTTTCCATTGCCAACATATGATCAAGACCAGGGTCCAATCCTAATTCGCCAATGACTGTAATTCCAGCTTCTTCCACACTGCAGCAGGTGAAGAGGGGGGAAAGAAAAAGTTGGAAATAAAATAAAAACAATGTCACAGAGCCACTTACTTTGTTGAAAATGATTAAAACTTACCTCTTTTCCAATTCTTTTAGTGCTGGTGTGATGTAGCTTGCAGTGACCATGTTAACTTTGCTTGTGATGCATGCCTTAGCCACAAGAGGATGCAATACATAAGGCAACAAGCTTCAAAACAGAGGAAAAACCTGATCAGAAACTTTCTTTTCCACCCCTACCTTCCAGCTTTGACCTGTACTAAAGCTGGGTCTTTAAGGCACTGTTCTGATTAAATTATTCTCTCAGACATGAGCAAGGATTCCCTGTGGACTACAGGATAAATCTATCCTGTTATCACATCTAAAGACCTCCACAATGACCCTCACCTAATATTGCTAGTTTTCTCTCTCAATTTCTTTCATAAATTCTATATGGAAATCAAAGACAATATTGTAATTGTCCACTCAAAGCATTTACTTTTTCTTTACTCTTACTGTGTCTTCCACTTGAAATTCTCAAGACACCCACACACCCCTATCCAAATCACACCCTCCTCTAAGAAATGCCTGAAAAGTTATATTCCTCCAAGAGTTTTTCCCAGATTCCCCTTGAGTCAGATATCCTTCCTCTGCATGCATCCACTGATTTCTTTATAATATTTAATGAAATTTATCCCATTTGTTTTTACATTTCTGTGGTTTCCTGACTTGAGTTCCCTCCTAAAAAAAAACAAAAACAAAAAAACAAAACGCAGTTGCTGTTCTTTTTACCTCCACATCTCTCAAATGACGAGAGCATGATGTGTCAGACTAGATCAACGTGGCCCATATGTTACATTAGATAATAAACTTCAGGACAAGCCCAAGGAGGAGAGAGGCACTCATGGTATTGATCAGTGTTAAGGCTATCAAAACGGATAAAAATCTATATGGTGAGCAAAAAATTGTACTGTATGCAAAACAGGTTTGATTGGGTTTTCTAAAAGTTTGACCTTGGTACTTTAATTTAGTGCTGGGACTACACAATCAAAAAAATTAACTTTCATAAACATCAGTATAAATGAGTACATCTATATTCTATTCAAGGAATAATAAAGCACCCTATCAATCACATGCCAACATTTAAGTTCTACCATATTGCCTACTTGGTAAAGTCATCTACACAGTACCAAAAAAATAAATACTAACTTATAAAAAATATCACACTTTATCACTGTACTTTTCAAATTCATCCTGCATACTTCATATTTTCTTTATTTCATGCAAAACAAAATAAAACAATCAGACTAGGAATTTATACCTCAAGTCAGCAGAATAGATAATTGCTACTTAGATTTATTATTATGTAGAATGAAACTGTGTGCGCCTTTTGACAGTATTAAAAGCTCCTATAAAACCTCCTGGTTTCTGTGTTTTTATTTTTTAGCAGAAAAGGAATTACCATGTTACCATATATAGTGGCCTTTCAAAAGCCATTGAGCAAAATACTCGCAAAACTGTTAGACTCAAAGTATTAATAGAAAATGTGAAATAGCATCATCTTAAAAGTTAAGTGAAAAGAATTTTAACACCATTGTTCATATTGAAAACTTGCCTGATCAAAAATTAACCAAGATCTAATAATATTTTAAAACTTTGACCTAATAATATGTTGAGAAGTAAAATGACAAGACTGATTGTTGGTGCTTTTTTTAGACAAAGGGATTACAGTTTATAATGCATTTGAATGTAATATAATAAGCACTCAGTGGGACCTAACACTTGAGTTATTTGAATTGATTCCAACCTAATTATTTCAAATGGTTGAAAATGTCACTTGTGAAAAACACACATAAAATACAATCAAAATTTTCAAACTTATCAAAATCAACTACTGCTTTGCATTCAATCATTAAAAACTCAATTTGAAAAATTTAACTGAGAATTTGACATATCATTATAAAATTACTCCTCATTTCATTTTTGTAGTCCCTATTTCTGTGTTTATATCAAAACATTCTTATCCCAACTTAAAAATATTTTTAATTATTTAATGATCACTACAAGATAACAATGTTTAATGGCATTACCACTATTCTGCATAGAAACTTCACCAAAATGAGAAAATATTGAATGTAAAACAGATCCTGTTAGTGCTAAATCTTGTTGAAGGCTACTTTTTTACTACAATTTAAAATTTGCACATATTAGTAGATTGTTGTCATATTTTGTTCCAAACATTTTAATAATGTTATTTATCTTGTTTCATCAAATAATAATGATATATTTAGATATGTATTTGTGGCAAAATAAATTCTTAATTTACTCAGGAGGTTAGAATATTTTATTTTGAATCAAGATTTGCTTTTCTAGTCATACCAGTTTCAGAGAAGGTCAGTTACTTATTCATCAATTTTTTCTAGATAAAAATTAATATGCATAAAATTTGTATAAATTGAGTAATATTTTAATTCATGAAGTGACCCTATATTTAAATATATCAAGAGGTAATGTAAAAGTCCCCACTTGTAATTAGAATTACTTTTCACTGTATCTGTCTTACAAGCATGCTTGTTTTAAGTAGGACATCACAGAACTTCCTCCAAAGATACAATCTGAATCTGACCTAACTATGAAAGTGATTAGATAATCACTATGAATGAGCAGATAACTTTCTCTTAACTTGCAAAAATTATATTCTAAGAATAAATGACTATTCTCATTACTTTGACATTTCAAAATTAGGTTTAATTATAGAATGACCCTCATGTAGCTCTATATCTAGAAGTTAGATCTGCCTTTTTATTAGGTAATAATAAATACTATATTTCAAGATCTGTCCTTATGATAAGACTTAAAACAATCATAAGGCTAAAGAATCCACTTATTTCATTTAAGCTTTATAAATTCAAAACACAAAATGGACACCAAAAAATATGAAAAATGAATACTTCATGACCTGCAATTCTACTTCTTAGTATATACCCAACAGAAATGTATAATTTGTTTGGTGAAATGGTTTACCAAGGATAAATATAAAAATATGTATAGCAGCATGATTCATAATTGCCAAAATCCAGTTAAAACCTGAATATCCATTGTAGTCAAGTAAATAATAATGAACACAAAAGGATGCCACATAGCAATGAGGATAAATAAACTACAATTACAGACAATAACACAAACGACTCCTACAAACAGAATGAGGAATAAAAGAAGGCAGCCAAAAATGAGGACAAACTAATCTGTACGTTAGAAGGTAGGATAATGTTTACCCCTGGGGAATGAAGTTAGTGAATAAAAAGGGGCACAAGGAGGGTTTCAGAAATATCATTGATCTTGCTTTTCCTAAATGGGTGATGGTCACAAAGTGTGCTCACCTGGTGAAAATTCATCAAGTTGTAAATGGCATGCACTTATGATTGGTGTACCTTCCTGGATGCATATTTTATGTAAAAAGTGTACTTAAAGAGCAAAGAGAAAAAGGGAAGAGGAGAGAAGGGGAAGGACAGAAGAGGGGACAGGAGAAGTGAGAGAAAGAGAAAAATAAAGAGAAAACAAGGAAAAAGAAATAATGACAATAAACAACAAAAAGAAGAAAATCATTTCTTGCCAGATACCTGATGACAAGATCTTGTTTTGCCACCAAGGAGCCCAACTTCTCTTCTTGTTTACAAATGTCCATGCTAACAGGATTAATATTATATTTCTTGCCTAACTGTTCAATTTGATTCTTCATGTCAGAGCCTATTTCGAGAATAAAATAGTCAAATCTTTATATTTCCTTTCATGCATCAGAGTAAAACACATTTTAACATCTCTAAAAAATAATTTTTCCTATTTTAGAAGCAAAACATCCTAAGTTTCACAGAGTCAATAAGTTATGAAGTCAGTTTTTCTTCTTCAAACATTAGGGCTTATTTACCTACTGTTATTTCTATATTGCCATCTCTTGACAGGTATTCTAATACAGGTTCAGATACGTAGCCAGATCCAAGAACCAAGACCTTTTTCTTGGTGCCCACTGAAAGTGACTGAGCATGTTCCCTATTTAAAAATAAAAAAAGGGAGGGGGGAAGAGGGTAATTAAAATTTTATTTTTTAAATAACAGATAATCTCGCTGTCCCCAAACAACACTAAAACCTAGACTATGAAGTAACAATTTCTTCCCATATTACCTGTAATGAGAACATCCACAGAGTTCCCTATATCAACATTTTTCTTTAATTATTTTAGATTTTGACCAGGGAAAAGCAATAGATCCTGACATCTCTGCGATATATGTCTATAAATTCATAGATGTGTTTCATCAATTTCCAGTACTACCAAGTGAAGTATAGATGCTGGACCATTTTGGGGCTTACTCACAATTGAATAACAGTCTACATTTTGTCTTTCCAGGGATGGGATTCAAAATCATGCTAGGAGCTTAACCTGGGAAGCTTATGTATGCCTCACAACACTCAATATGGCAACAATCTGAGGAGATTATTAATATCCATATGAGAAACTGCTTTGTCATATATCTTTAGGGTCACTTCAGAACAGTTAAAACTACAACTTTGAAACCACAAATGCCATGGGTTAAGCGTAGAAACCTAAGACTAATACCAGGTGGGATTTTAATTCTTGAACAGTTTATTCTTCTAGAATTTGTACCTTCTGGACAGATGACTCTCTGTCTTTCCCACAAACTATGATCTCCAAGGCAGTGAATAAATCTTACCCATCTTTATAAACCCACTAATGCTCAGTAGATTTTATCTTTAATATGGAAGGTACTCAATAAATGTCTTTTGAATCAAATTCCCCAATATCAACATGAAACTATGGGAATGGGCCGGTGCCAGGGACTTAAGCAGGCTCTATTGCTGGAATCTTTGGGGAAGGATATCTCTTGAACTTTAACCCATAATCCTTTTCATTAACTATAAATGACTTCAAATAAATATGAATACAAAATGATCCTGGCCTTCTATACCCCCAACACACACACATTACTAATGAAGTCTCCTTTAACCTCTACTCCCATTTCATTTCCCCTCCCAGAGAGAACCACTATTATTTAGTTACTGCATATTCTACCAACACTTTCTGTAGTTTGTATAATTAAAACATTATTTTGATGTCCAAATACAAATAGCTCAAAACATATTTCTAAAAACTCATTCCTAGGCTTGAATACTGTCCACCCCATTAGTACCCCCAAACTTCAGTCTCCAAGTTAATAATCACTGTGCTAAGTGGTGAAAGGAATAATAAGAATAAAGCAGAGTTCAGAATCAGGTAAATTTCCTTTCAAAAAGGCAACTTTCATGATCAGTCTCTTCGCACAAGATTCCATCGGGGAAGGAGGGCAGGAAGTCCGATGGAGCCAAGTAGCCTTCTGCTACATGAAACATGGTCATAAGAGTAAAGATATCACGACTAGTCGTGTTAGACATGCCATTAGTATTAGCAGTATAGGAGTTCAGATGATGAGAATCAAAAGACAGATAGAACTATGAAAAACAAATAAATGTGAAGTCTCCCCTATAAGACACTCTCCCATGGGGTTGCAGAGCTAGCTTCTCTTTTAAAATAATTAAATACTCTTATGCCAGAATATTTTCCCTGACACGTTAAAAAAGGAACTTATGAGCAAACTAGCACATATGGAAAAGGTGTAACTATAATCCACTTGGTCTAAGCAGATCTTTTTGTTCACTCCTTGTAGGTAGAATCACTGAAAAAAAAGATGAGACAGTTACTTTGTTTTGTATTTTTAATTTACACACTCTGGTTTCTCCAGAGACTTCAGTGAATGGCTTATTTTTTAAAATGTGAATAGATCAGTGGAGCAGATATAAACACAAATCAAGCACAATCAGCTGGAGGAGTCCAGAACATTCCAAAGAAACATCAATGTTTTAAAACTTTAAGTAGTAAAATAAAGATAACAAGCAAGGGCCTTAGCTAAATATTTTTCTTTCTTTCTTTTTCTTTTTTTGGAGTTGGAGTCTCACTCTGTTGCCCAGGTTGGAGTGCAGTGGCATGCTGTCGGCCACCTAAGGCCCAACTTGCTGGGCTCAGGCAATCCTTCCACCTCAACCTTCCAAGTAGCTGAGACCACAGGCACGTGCTACGGCTCCCGGCTAATTATATTTATTGTAGAGATGAGGTATTGTCAAGTTGCCCAGGCTGGTCTCGAACATCTGTGCTCAGGCAATTATCTTGCCTCTACCTCCCAAAGTACTGGGATTACAGGCGTGAGCTACCATGCCCAATGTTAAATACCTTTCTAAGAATTATTTCCTTGAGTAAATCTGCTATATGACAATTTGGCATCTTCTCCCATTAAGATTCCCTGGAGAAAACTACCTCTCACCATTTTGTTTCTTCACTACTCCCTTAATTTGTAGTCAAGAATTTACTTTCCTAAACATTATACTATACAAAAGAGAGTCCAAACCTTTAACTAAAACCCAAACTGAAAGCACAGCAGAAAAGGTTAGTGTGCTCATTTTCCTTTGAGAAAATAACTGAGGTGTGACAATATATAAAAGACTAGAGAAAGAACAAGGGACTACCCAAAGGATAACTCCTATGGGTTTTTGCTTGTTTACACTCACATCTACACAGGATATTAGAAAGCCAAAATGATGCTCTACTACTGTTTAGGGGGAAAAACTCACATGGGTTTCAAACAGCTACTTTGTTTAGATTTTCTACATTTACAGATATTATAAAATTTTATATAATGTACAAACCTAATATTAAGAACTGTCATTGAAGCATTAAAAATACTTGTCAAATCCAAGATAAGAATAAATATATAAAACAAGAGGATTTGAACAATACTTACCTGCTTTCCCGGAGTTTCTGGATATATTTATATTTATCAGGTAATGTACCGTTGGATGTAATCACTGCCTAAATGTATATGACATAAGACATTTCTTTAGTATCCACATTTTAGTCCTACAAACATGGGTTCATGACTGATAGAGACAGAGTGACAGAGGTGGAGAGTGAGAGCGAGAAAGCAAGAGGCAGGGGGAGAGGAGAGCAAAGATGGTAGTAGAAAAAATACATTCATGAAAAGAAGTTATTCTTATAACTTACATCTCTCACCACAGGAGAAAAATTCTGACTTTCAAGAGGCTGTGTGGCATCTGATAATATCTGAAAGAAAAATTATATTTGTAAGAGAAAAATGGCATTGCAAAGAAGGCATTATGGTTTTTGTAACTGTATTAAAAATATCAATCCAAGGAAAAAAGAATTTAAGAAACAATTTTCTGAAGATCACTGAGTATAAATAATTGGTAATAGAAATCGTCTACAAGCAATCAACTCTGCCTGCAAGAATATGATGTTTCAGTACAAGTTCCAATTCCAATTTTATTTTTACAAAGAGTCTCACTCTGTCACCCAGGCTGGAGTGCAGCGGCATGCTCACGGTCACCACAGCCTCGACCTGTTGGGCCCAGATGATCCTTCTGCCTCAGTCTTCCAAGTAGCTGGGACTACAGGTATGCACCACCACACTCCACTAATTTTTGATTTATTGTAGAGACGAGGTCTTGCCAAGTTGTCCAGGCTGATCTTGAGCCCCTGGACCCAGGCAATCCTTTCGCCTCTGCCTCCCAAAGTGCTGGAATTACAGACACGGGCCACTGGGCCTAGCTAAATTCCAGTTTTAAAATTAAAATTTGATTATAATCATCTTTGCTTGCTGGGAACACAAAAAGACTTATCCTTTCCAACCAGTTAAATGTGTCATGTTGAGCATGTTGTCAAAGCTTTATAGTCATGTACTACACCCTTTGTGGGGTTTTATCCCATCCCAAAGGCTCAAGCTGTTCTTGAAATATAGAATGGGGTTTTTCACTCAGCAAAGCCACCAATCCTGCAGTAGGGATAGCTCGTAGGTCAATATTAGTTCTATGTGTAGGCACACTAGCATTTTAAAGGTAGTAACAAAAGTGACTTGACCAAGTAAACCTCAAAAAGTTATCCACACTCTCTTCCCATTATCTTGCAAAATTGACTCAGAGAGACAACAACAAATGTAACATGTCTCATATTAACATCCCAGCATCCTTCTAGTCATTCTCTTTTCTCCCAAGAATCCCAACCCTTACATATACTGCCAAGCAGTAATGGGCATGTAAGTCAGTGTTGTTGCCTCTTGTAGGCAGGGAAGAGCCAACAAGATAATCTTTCTTCCTTAATCACAGATTAAAGTTTAGATCACTCACCCAACTGCAAATAAGAAAAACATACTGAGCAGATGCAGGCACCAGAGACTTTATTTACCACATTAAAATAAATATAAAATCATTTTCATGTATTTAAAGCAAAATACAGCCAGGTGAGGTGCTCACGCCTGTAATCCCTGATTTATGTAGGTAAGAACATATCACCTTTCTCAATGCACATTTTCCAATAAAGCAATGGTGATTACTACCTGACTCAGATCAACCCCCCAATTGAGTAAAATGAGGTAAAACACAAAAAGCTTCCGTTTTTAAATTAACAAAGTAGTGAAGATTTGCTGCACCAAAATTCTGAAGAAAGAAGCCCAAATAATTGAGTCCAACACTTGGCATCACCTTCTTCTTTAGGACATTTTCCATTGTGGAAGCGGTGTCTAAGATACTGAGAGGATGGGCAGAAAGTGACAGAGAGGTTGAGAAGCTAAGAAGAGCTTTTGGCTGACTTTCAAAAACAGGGCAAAAAATGTTTAAGGTCTGCTATAGAGGAATTCTAATAAGCACCATATTTTCACTGGAAATCCTGAAAAATTATAGTCTAAAATAAACAGTAATTTGAAAGTCATCATATCTCCAAAGGAATGAAACTCAGGTTTGAATCACATTTATCCCTAAGTGAATTGAAAGTATTTTCTTTAGCCTATTTCCTTGCCTATTTCCCTAACAAAGACAAAGAAAATCTTTGGAGGAAAATCACACAGCATGCAGAGTCTCAATGATCAGGTTCATGTGTAAAATTTTACCTACGCACTGTCTGGCATTCAACCAAAAATAAACAGGCATATATATGAAAAGATTAGAATTGACTGAAAACCAAGTGAAAAAAGGGAACATAAGTGGGCCCAAGAAGATTACTAGGGTTATCAGAAGTGAGTCTAAGCTTTGATTAATATGTTCAAAAATAATCCCTGTAAAGAACCAGAACACGAGCCGGGCTTGGTGGCTCAGCCTGTAATCCCGCGCCTTTGGGAGGCTGAAGTGAGTGAATTGCCTGAGCCCGCGGATTCGAGACCCGCCTGGGCAGAGAGACCTTATCTCTACAGTAAATAAAAAAATCAGCCGGGCATGGTGGCGCATGCCAGTAATTCCGGCTACTCAGAAGGCTGAGGCGGAAGGATCGCCGGAGCCCAGCAGGCTGAGGCTGCGGTGGCCGGGAGCGGCCACTGCACTCCAGTCTGGGCAACAGAGTGAGACTCCAACTCAAAAAAAAAACAAAAAAGAACCAGAACATGATAAATATGTCCACTCTCACCACTCCTGTTTAACATGACACTGGACATCCTAGTCAGAGCAATCAGGCAAGAGAAAAAAATAAAAAGGTATCCAAATATAACAAAGAGGAAGTTAAATTATTTCTAGTGGCACATAATATGACCATATACCTGGAAAATCCTAAAGATTCCATCAAAATGCTTCTTGAGCTAATAAGTGACTGCAGTAAATATCAGGGTATAAAATCTATATTCACAAATGAGTAGCATTTCCATAATCAGCAATGTTCAAGCTGTGAACCAAATCAAAAACACAATCCCATTTAGATAGGCACAAATAAATAAAATACCTGGAAATACACCTAGCAAAGAAAGATCTCAACAACAGGAACTACAAAACACTGCTGAAAGAAACCAAAGATGACATGAACAAAAGGAAAAAATTTCAAGCTCATGGATTGGAAGAATCAATACCATTAAAATATTCTTACTGGTCGGGCCCAGTGGCTCATGCCTATAATCCCAGCGTTTGGAATGCCGAGGTGAGAGGATTGCCTGAACCCATGGGTTCAAGACCAGCCTGGGCAACTTGGCAAAACCTCTTCTCTACAATAAATCAAAAAATTAGCTGGGCACGGAGGTACATGCCTATAGTTTCAGCCACTTGGAAGGCTGAGGCAGAAAGATTGCCTAAGCCCAGCGGGTTGAGGCTGCGGTGGCCATGAGCATGCCACCGCACTCCAGCTTGGGCAACAGAGTGAGACGTAGCTCAATTAAATAGATAGATAGATAGATAGATAGATAGATAGATAGATAGATAGATAGACAGATAGATAAATATCTTTACTTCCCAGAGCAATCTAAAGATTTAATGCAATCCACATTAAACTACCAGTGTAATTTTTTCACAGATTTAGATAAACAATGCTTAAATTCATGTGGAAGCAAAAAGAGCCCTAACAGCCAAAGCAAGCCTAAGCAAAAAGAGCCAAGTTGGAAACATCACATTACCAAACTTCAAACTTTACTACAAGGATACAGTAACCAAAACAGCATGGTACTGGCATAAAAATAGAAACCTAGACCAATGAAACAGAATAGAGATCTTAGAAATAAAGCTACTGACCTACATTTAACTGATCCTTGTCAAAGCTGACAAAAACAAACACTGGGGAAAGGACGTCCTATTTGGTAAATGATGCTGAGAAAACTAGCTAACCATAAGCAGAAGAATGAAACCAGACCCCTTCTTCTCACCATGTTCAAAAATTAACTCATAATGGACAAAATACTTCGATTTGAGACCTCAAAACTATATAAATCTTTGATGAAAACCTGGAAACACTCTTCTAGACATTGTCCTTGGCAACGAATTTATGACCAAATCACCAAAAGCAAGTGCAGTAAAAACCAAAATTGAAAGTGAGATCCTAATTAAAATAAAGAGCTTTTGCACAACAAAATAAACTATCAACAGAGAAAACAGACAACCTATGGAAGAAAATATTTACAAACTATGTATCTGATATATGCCTAATATCCAGAATCTGTAAGAAACAAACAAATCGACAGGAAAAAAACCAAATAACCCCATTAAAAAGTGGGCAAAAGACATGAAAAGACACTTTTCAAAAGAAGACACAAGGCAAAAAAGTGGCCAATAAACATATGAAAAAATGTTCAACTTCACTAATCATCAAAGAAATGAAAATAAAAGCCACAGTGAGATACCATTTCATGCCAGTCAGAATGGCTATTAGTAAAAAGTTAAAAAATAAAATAAAATAAAACAGGTGTTGGCAAGGTTGAAGAGAAAAGCAGTTTAGAAAGAAGTGTCAAAACTTGGAGTAAGCAAGCAAAGCAATAATTGAGTTTCTCATTCTTTTGACATTGGCCTGAGGATAGGTCATGTGCAGCAAGGAGGTGAAATTATGTAGAAAGTTCACTGACTTTCTGACCTAAGGAAACAATGATGGTGCTCAGAGTAACCACAGCCTCTGAAAAGTGAAGGGGAAATTCCAGAGAGGGCAGATTCAGAAAAAGGAAAGTCCACCCTCTAGGTAGACTCTACTCTAAGTCTCTGGATGACCCCCAAACTGAGCATGCACAGGCCAAACTATAAGCAGCCCATAAAGAGATAAAAGAGCTGAAATTTGGTCTGCAATATCTCCCTCCACAGGTGAGACAGAATTTTCAGTTAAGTCTAACCAAGTTAACTGCCTGCTAAGACAAAAATATCAACACTTTTTAGAGAAAAGTAGCAACCCAAAATCTCTGTAGTATAACAACCACATCATCCAGAACAAAATCCAAAATTATTCAATTAATGAAAGTCAGAAAACTATGACCCTTCTCAAGGGAAAAGACAATAAAGTTGACCCAGAATGTTGAAAGCATGAGATAAAGATTGCAAAGTGGTTTTTATAACCATGCTCCATGTAATACAAAAAATACACTCGTGACAAATGAAAAGACAGAAACTCTCAGTGAAGGTCGGGCACAATGGCTCATACCTATAGTCCTAGCTACTCGGAAGGCTGAGGCAGGAGGATCACCTGAGCCCAGGAGATCATGGCTGTTGTGAGCCATGATTGTGCTTCTGTACTCTAGCCTGGGTTACAGAGTGGACTATGACTCAAAGAAAGAAAGAAAGAAAGAAAGAAAGAAAGAAAGAAAGAAAGAAAGAAAGAAAATACCAAAACAAAAAAGCCAAATGGAAATTCCAGAACTAAAAATAGAATATCTGAAATTTTTTAAAAATCACAGAAAAAACTTATTAGCAAAATAAAGCATATAAAGACATTTTCTGATAAAGACAATTAAAGGAATCTGTCACCAGAAAACCTCTACTATAAGAAATGATAAATTAAGGTATTCAGCCAGGCACAGTGGCTCACGCCTGTAATCCCAGGAATTCGAGACCAGCCTGTGCAACTTAGCAAGACTTTATCTCTACACTAAATCAAAAAATTAACCGGTCATGGTGGTGCACCCCTGTAGTTCCAGCTACTCGGAAGACTGAGGCAAAAGGATCACCTGGGCCCAGCAGGCTAAGGCTGCTGTGAGCATTCTACTGCACTCCTGCCTGGGCAACAGAGTGAGACTCTTATTCAAAAAAAAAAAAAAATCAAGTCATTCAGTCTTGATACCAAAAGGAAATGATACCAAAAGGAAACAAACGAAGGGCATCAAAAATGGTACCATCATGATAAATTTACTATTGCTTTTTTTAAACATATACTTTTTGGTCACTTACACATGTACCATTACAGAATATTAAAATGGGAGAGACTATTAAGATTATATACTACAACTACCTTACTTTATAGATAAAAGAACAAAATCATGAATTTCGCAGCAACCTGGATGGAACTAGAGTCTATAATACTGAGTGACCTCTCACAGAAACAAAGATCTGAGTATCACATGTTCTCACTCATATAGTGGACCTTGAACATCCGATGTAATACTATAAGAAAATGACTGACAGTAGTGGGAAACTATGGGGGGGAGGAGGGAGATGGGAGTAATGGTAGTAAATATCTGTCTGGGGACAGGGAGACACCTCTTATCAACAAGGGTGCCTGAATGAAACATATTTGTATACCTAACCCTTAACTGTACCCCACAATATCATAATTAAAAATATTAATTATAAAAAAATTAATAAATAAAAATAAAAGAAATATCTGAAGCTCAGAAAGGAAGTGAATGCCCCACTGAAGGCCATAAAGTAAGCAGATGTCTCCAGAAAAGTCAGACGTTTGTCCCTTTCTCATGTTACTTAAATCCTTCAGCACCAACTCCACACACATTTTACATCCAGCACTGCATTAGCAACAAGCAAGCAACAATTCTCAGACTTAACTTCTCTATGCTTCAGTATCATCATCTATAGAGTGGGCTTAATGATGGCCACCAACCGGGCTCGGTGGCTCATCCTGTAATCCCACACCTTTGGGAGGCTGAGTTGAGTGGATTGCCTGAGCCCGCGGGTTCGAGACCCGCCTGGGCAACTTGGCAAGACCTCATCTCTACAATAAATAAAAAATCAGCCGGGCGTGGTAGCGCGCGCCTGTAATTCCGGCTACTCGGAAGGCTGAGGCGGAAGGATCGCCAGAGCCCAGCAAGTCGAGCTGCAGTGGCCGGGAGCAGCCACTGCACTCCAGTCTGGGTGACAGAGACGCCAACTTAAAAAAAAAAATTTGATGGCCACCCACCTAATAGGGTTCTCTTGAGTATTTAAAATTAAAATAGTTGAAGTACTTTGGGTACCGCCTGGCACATAAAAGGTGCAGTACTATGTCCAACCATGATAATATCTGCTGCCTGCATTTTTCTTTCTTTTTTTTGGAGTCTAATTCTGTTGCCTAGGATGGAGTGCAGTGGCATACTTACAGCCACCACAGCCTCAACCTGATGGGTTCAAGCAATCCTTCCGCTTCAGCCTTCCAAGTAGCTAGAACTACAGGCATGCACCACCACGTCCAGCTATATATTTTTTTTCTTTATTGTAGAGACAAAGTCTTGCCAAGTTGTCCAAGCTGGTCTCAAACCCCTTGACTCAGGCAATTCTCTCACCTCTGCCTCCCAATGTGCTGGGATTACAGGTGTGACCCACCACACCCAGTGCTGCCTGCATTATCAAAAGCCTGCTACATCTCCCTGTTGACAAAGTCCAAAAGGAAAAAGAAGGAGTCGAAATTAAATACTATTTGAAAGAAAAGAAGATCACAAACTGGAAATTTCATAATTCTTGCTTTACTAACTACTATCCCATCTTAGTGAGAGCTTGTGAGTGAAGGTATGGATGAAAAAATAAGAGCCATTATTCATAACTTTGGAATCATCACCAGAACAGACAGTCATTAGCAATAAATATTAAGCAAGGTAAGAATGAATTTACTTAGGGTAAATACTGAAGTAAGAAGGATTTTCTTTGGTAAAGAAAATGGAATTTAGATAACATTGTATTTCATCACTTAATCACTGATCACGGAAGAAAAGTACGTGACCTCAACATAAGTGATCACTTAACTATACATTAGTGACTAAGATCCAATAAATTTTCTATATTCTTAAATTTTCAAATCTGTTAATCACAGCACAGTAAGAATTCCCCCATGAACAGCAAAGAATTGAAAAAAACGTAGGTTTTATCTTACCTGTCATGAACATTTTTAATAAAATGTTTAGTGAAAGATAAATGTAATTGTAATTAAGCATTCAGACAGTGATGTAATCTTATTCCCCATGAGATAAGCAAGCAGGTGTAAAATAAATGTATATCATTAAGTACTTCAGGGAAGGGCTGGCATTTCATTTTACAACAGATTTCTTGGATACAGAGGACCAGAACATTCATAAGATCGCACCATAATTCTATTTAAAACCACAGAGTTGTTGCTGATGTAACCAATCTGCTTACCATTTCTTCAACATAAGGGTAAAGCATGTCTCCAAAGCATTCTGTGGCTTCAATTGGAAGCTGTGCTGGCAAATTGTCAATGGAACACATTAGAATCCCAGAGCCTTCGAAACTAGGAGAAATAATATAGACGTTCAAAGAGCAACTTGTAAGCTCTGACTTTTCCAGATGGCTACTTCATAATGTTTGCGTCAACATCATATGTAATTTTGCATAACAGTATATGAGAAAATAAACAAGTCTTCTCAAACAAAACTCTTTCCTTCTTCAGCATCCATCTCCCATTTATTTATATATTTCCTTATTTTGAGTCGAAGTATCACTCTGCTGCCCAGGCTGGAGGGCAGTGGCATGCTGCTCAGGTGATCCTTCCACCTCAGCCTTCCAAGTGGTTGGAACTACAGGTGCACACCATCATGCCCGGCTAATTTTTTGATTTATTGTAGAGATGAGGTCTCACCAAGTTGCCCAGGCGGTCTCGAACCCCTGGGCTCAGGCAATCCTCTCACCTCTACCTCTCAAAGTGCTGGGATTACAGGAGTGAGTCACCATGCCTAGCCCCCATCCCTCATTTAAATATAGCATTCATGTATTGAAGTGCTCAAATTTGCAGGTAGTTTTTCTACCACATTTTAATATTTTGAACGTTATACTCCAAATTTCATACTTGCATTACAATGTAAAATATGGAGTTTGTTAAAGTAGTATATCAAGGTAAGTAAGGGATATATACCATCTGACAGCTATTAGCAAACGTACTTGTCATGGATAATATGCTGATCCGCATCGTACATGCAGAAGGGATGCTCTATTGTCGTACACTCAGTCATAAACTCTATAGATCCTCCCGTGTCTGCTGAAATGTCACATATTGCCACAAGTCTGAAAATAACATTAATGCTTAGATGAGAGGAAGAAATTGTATGGTCTCCAACAAGACTAAAAATTAATGAAAATGAAAGGCACTTGAACAATTTTCAATATGGGTGCCAAATATTTTCCAGGCTCCTAGGGTGCCAGCTCACTCTTCAGGACACTATGCTGTTCTGGGATACAGAGCATCTTCCCAATATGAGTTTTGGTTTCCACATGAAAAAAGAAAGAAAGAAAAGAGAAAAGAAACTAAAGTGGAAAGTCTCTTCCCTAGAGAAATCACTAACAACAGACTAGTTAAAGTTAGCCTAATTAGCCACCTCTAAATAACTCACAAAGGTTCAATTATACTATCTCTACCCTATTTAGTACTACAAAATTTTAGATGTGATTATACAGAAGTTTCTAGAATTATGAACAAAAGTTTCAGCTGAGCAGTCAAAAGCCTTCAGAGGTTAACCACAATTTTCCTGGTCAACCTCCAATTACTATTTGTCTACACGAATCTATAGCAGAGCTAGACTGTCCTGCTCTGTCTCCTAAATTGTGCTTTATCAAGTACCAACCCTATCACTTGGGTTTGTTATTCTCCTCTCTCCTCCCTGTTAAGGCTTTGTTGAGCCAATTGCTTCCAGTTTCTTCTAAACTCCAATGATGTTGTTGCTCTTAGTATTATTCCCTTGGCATTAACTTGGTGCCAGCTACATGTCTGAGAAACCAAATCTATCCTTTACTCTTCCTTATCCTTCAGCTTAGCAGAGTGCCAGGCAAACCCAGTGTTCCACAAATATTAACTAATTAATTAGTTCATAATTTAATAATTATTTGAATGCTTATCATATATCAAGCAATGTACTGGGTGCTTGTCGCCAATATAAACAGGGTTCCTAGTCTTACTCTTTTTTTCTTTTTTTTCAGTAGGTCTCCCTCTGTTGCCCAGGTTGGAGGGCAGTGGCACGATCATGGCTTACTACAACCTTGGCCTTCTGGGATCAAGCAATTCTCCCATCTCAGCCTCCCACCAAGTGATGGGATTATAGGCATGAGTCACCATGCCCAGCTAGGGCTCCTATTCTTAAGGAGATTAAGTTCTATATGAAGGAGAAAAAAAATCATAAACATAGGGAAATAAATGATCGTGAATTTATGAAATAAAAAAACCAGAGTAACAGACTAGAGAGAGATGGGGACGGGGAAGCAAGAGAAAATATCTAAGGAGGTTACTTTGGGACCGTATGTGGAGTCACAGAAGGCAAAAGAAGAGTTTCAGGGAGGGATGACTGTGATAGCTGTGATAGCCATGTCAAATGCTGCCAAGAGGTGGAAGAAAATAAGGCAGACAGCTGGTCATGAAAAATCAAGTCCTATGCTATGTGGAAACATTATATTATTTGACCCTAGTGATGGGTGCTGCTGCTAAAAAGTACCATTTTTGCTAAGTCACATCCTTACTTGTGTGGCAACGTGGGGCAGCCTTCCACACCAGCAACTGAGGACTTGGCTGGAACCAGGAGACTTTGAGCATCTTGGCGGGTTAGTAAGCGAGGGGTGTTTTGTTCCCAGTAGATTCCATTGATTAAGCAGGTTGTATAGGGTGCAATCTGTAACACAAGTTCCAAGCTCAAGCAAATAGGAAATAGCCTATTTCAAGGCAGTGTGCTGAAAAAGAGCTATCAGTAAAGTCTATGAGAAACAATTAAATGAAACTTCTGTCACTGGCCAGAGTCAGCGTCTCTTCTTGAAAACAGACTATAGTGTATCATAAGCAACCAACTCAAAAACTGAATATGCCATCTTTTGAGGCAAAGATAATAAACACCCACCCAGATTTCAGTTAAAAGTATTCCATGATAGAGAAACATATGACCATAAATGTCAATATATTCATTCTATAATATATTGCATAGCAAAGAAAAAGGAAAGCACAGAAAGTCAGAACTATTTCCAGCTGAACCCCTGGATCATGCTACCTTGGCAGTTTCTCTCACTCCTACCAGCTCTGTCATGTCTCCCTTTCTTTCCTATCTTCTTTTTCTAATAAATTTTGTTTTGAAACTTAAAATATAAAATAAATTTTAAAAGATAAATCATGCTACCTCAACTTCTCTAGGCTCTATTTTCCTTACCTGCCAGATTGTGATAATGCAAACCCCATTCCTCAAAGGAATGCTGTGAAGATTAAATAAGATAACATCTGTAAGCTCCATGAAGAAATGTGCTACATACATGCATACATGGTAACAAGGTCAGTATAAGTTTTAGGATGCAGTGCATCCTATTACCAATACTTCTGTGACTGGTGAAAAGAGAAGGGTTGAAAATTTGCTAGATTTAAAGTTTTTTTCAGTTTTAGACTAGTTTCATAATATTTGTTCTTCAAACATCTCAAACTGAAGGTTCCAGAATCCTTCACTCTAGCATGCTCTACAGCTAAATATCATACCAGAATCTAAAATGCTATGTTGTGCAAACATATTTAAAATTAGTTAAGACATTCTTTTTCACAATAAATGCATGCCTTTTTGTTTTGTGTTGTGTTGTTTTTTGGTTTATTTTAGGAAGGATCATTGCGTGGTCAGTGACTACAAAACACACAAACGTATTGTCCTGCATATGGTACTGTTTATAAGATGAAGCCAGTGTGTCCCCATTAGAAGGATTTGATTTTTTAATTTTTTTTTTTTTGAGTCAGTGTCTCACTCTGTCACTCAGGCTGAAGTGCAGTGGCATGCTCACAGCCACCGCAGCCTCAACCTGCTGGACTCAGTTGATCCATCTATCTCAGCCTTCCAATTAGCTGGAACCACAGCTGTGCGCCACTACTCCCGGCTACTTTTTTTATTTATTGCAAAGACGAAGTCTTGCCAAGTTGCCCAGGTTGATCTTGAACCCCTGGATTCAGGCAATTCTCTCGCCACTGCCTTTCAAAGTGCTGGGAATACAGGTGTGAGCCACCGCACCCAGCTGGATTTGATTTATAAGTAGCTTCTTCATACAGTGGGGATAGTCTATGTTTATGTAGAGACCCACTATTTCAGCCTCATCCCCTATAATCAACAGCATGCATTTCGAGACGTCTGGCTGAAGTTATGGTTACAATTTGTGGCCTTAGAAGAAATAAATCTATGTTGATACCAAGCCTCATAGTCATTGTGTCTTGCCAATAGTGCTAACTAGTCCAGGATAAATACAGAAAACGGTAATCTACAGGAAATGGTTTAAAGCTATTGGGCACAGGTAGACCAAGAAAAAGAGACAGTGAGGCAAATAGCATACCCACAGAAACCGCCAAAACTACTAAGCAAAGGCCACTCCAAACACTCATAAAGGTGACAGCTCCTTAGGCCAACTTGTGATACCCAAAGGACACACAACAGGGGATCTGAAAACAATGTACACATTCATCATTTCTCTCCTTGAAAACAGACTATAGTGTACCATAAGCAACCAACTCAAAAATGAATATGATACTCACATCAGTATTAAAACGACTTATGTAGCGCTCAGGATATTTGTCATACTCTACAGGATCATATACACCATCTGTTTTCCTGACAAGATGATGATGGCGACTTAACACCGTCCCATACACTTTTCTGAGGTCTTGTGGAAAAGAAATGAGTAAAGTGGGTGATAAATTATAAAGATGTATGGTGATAAAAAACAATAAAATTTACAGTCATCTTCTGCCCCTTACCTCCAGTTTGGGAAACTTCTTTTAATTCATGGGGCTCCACATATTCACAAGGTAGCTCATTGAAGATTTCTTGGGCTCCCTACATATAACACAAGAGGAAAAAATCCAAAAGTCAATAGAAAAAGAACCAACATGGTTTCTTGAAAAAATTCCAATTTTCTCCACAATTTTATAGCTTCTTTTGCCCTCCAGGCTATCAGAACTGCAACACAGAAGTGCAGCTCCCTGCATGTAACCTAGTAACCAGTTCTTATTCCAGCTTGAAAAGCACACATGAGAAGGTGCATTTTTTTTTTTTAAATTAAGCTGCTCAGAGTATCAACAAGAGCATTTTTTTTTTAAGTTTTTTCTTTTGAGTCAGAGTCTTACTCTGCGCCTAGGCTGGAGTGCAGCAGCACACTCACAGTCACCACAGCCTCAACCTGCTGTGCTCAGGTGATTCTTCTGCCTCAGTCTTCCAAGTAGCTGGAACTACAGGCACGCGCCACTATACCTGGCTAATTTTTTTTTATTTATTGTAGAGACGAGGTCTTGCCAAGTTGTCCAGGCTGGTCTCAAACCCCTTGGCTCAGGCAATCCTCTCTTCTCGGCCTCCCAAAGTGCTGGGATTACAGATAAGCCACCATGCCCGGCCAACAAGAGCATTTAGAAATAAGGGCACAATACAATATTTCCATTTACTATTGATCATATAAATTATTTAAATGGGGAAACTATATTTCCCACAAAAGGAAAAATCAGATGCTTACCTCACAATATAATACTAATAGTGATGTCCTATTTGTAAATTATTTTCTTCGAAGAAAGAACTATTTACATTTATAACTTTTTGTATAGGAGATTACAAATGCATTCTCAAAACCATTTGAGAAGGAGTAAAGCATTAATTTTAGTGTTGAACGAATCTTCTTACCATCTTCTTGGCAAAACTCAAAGTAGTCTTAAAAACTGTATATCCTAAAGTCACTTTCAAATTTTGGTAATCTCAGTGACGGAGGTAAACAGATTACCCTCAGAACGTACCTTTATCCCATTAACATGAATTCTTGGGGGGTAGGGAAGGAAGGAAGGAAGGAGGAAGGAGGGAGGGAGGGAAGGAGGGAGGAAGGAAGAAAGGGAGGGAGGAAGGGAAAACATTCTTAATCTCTGATAGCTGAGTATCAACCAAAAGGAAAAAATATGTTTCTGGATCATTACTGCTCTTCAATATGAGAAAAATACACTGGGAAAAAGAGTATCAAAAAATAGATTCCTCATTCATTTTATTTGAAATGCCCGCATTGTTTGGATTAGTTATAGAGTTTCAGACTGCTTTACCGAAGGAAGACAGGTGAAATTTACCTTGGATACATTGCCAGTCCCTGTGAACACAAATGTTAAGGGCCCTATCGACTTTGGCATCAAGCCCAGAGATATTTCATAGCCAGCATCACGGACAGCTTGCACAGCCTGACTGCTATTCCTGTAGTTGTGGGCCATGCCAATATGCTGAAAACAAGCACACGTGATTCAGGTTAGTCCACCAGTTGATACATTTTTCTATTCTAAAAGTATGATATGTATTTTTAAATAAAATAAGCAAAAAAAAAAAACACCACCAAAAATCTCTCACCATAAAAGGTGTATGGTGTCCCAAAGCAAGGAGTCTCAAACCCATTCCGTGTAAAATGTTGATCATCCCTATTGCAGAATCAGACCAATAGAAAGATCATTAGTTGAGAGGAGTTGAAGCTGTTCTTTCTGCCCATTCTCCAACCTGCTGGGTACCCTGAGGAAGCACAGACCACAGCATCTCAGATTTGGAAGGAGCCTCAATCGACCTTATCCATCCTCCCAACTTTCTACCATCAAATGTACTAATCCAACAGCATCCCCATGTATTCCTTCCACCTTGAATTCTGATAAAATAGAAAGAGTGTTCCTCTTCTTATCTAAGATTAATCTCTCCATTTTGTTCCAGATTTCATCCCTTCTTGCAGTCCTAGGAATTCATTCTTGAATTATTCCCTTCACTATCACTATTGATTCATTCTTACCAACATTTAAACATGCTTCAATCCCTCTCATACCAAAACCAACCAACCAAACAAACAAAATCACTATGAGCCCTAGGGTCCCTGCCAGCTATGTAGTGACCTAAATAGCTAAATTCAGATCAGGTCAGACATATTGGGTGATGCAATGTCTTTCCTCAGCATCCTTGTCTTGAAGTGTTTTATCCTACCTTTCTGTAGCTCCTCTTCATGTGCCCTTTCCTCATATAATTTATCCTCAGGATTCCTTCCTGGGCTCCATTCTCTTATCTATCAACATTTTGCCCTTAAGTCATTCCGTGTAGTCCCAAATTTTAAGTACTACCTGTATATGGATGACTCCATGTCTGTCTCTCCAAAACTGATTTTTCTTTTGATTTCAAAACATAGCCGTCATTTCTGTCTCAATTTGAATGTTCTTCACGCATGGGTTATTCAAAAGTACATTGGTTTATCTTCCAAATATTTGGAAATGTTCTAGATATATTTTAATAAAATCTCTAGTCAATTTTATTACTGTCTGAGAACATACTATGTGATTTCAAGCCTTTTAAATTTATTGAAAATTGTTTTGTGACCCAGTATATGGGCTATCTGGGTAAATGTTCCACATGACTTGAAAAGAATGTGCAAGCTATGGTTATTGGGTAGAGTGGTCAAAAAATGTCAATTAGATCAGGGTGGTTGATAGTGTTTAATAATTCTATATTTCTACTAATTTTCTGTCTACTTGCTCTGACAGTTACAGAAAGAAGAGTGTTTAAATTTCCAAATATGTTAAGGGATTTATCTTTTTTTTAAGTCTGTCAATTATTATTAATGAATTTTAAAGCTCTATTATTAGGTGCATACACATTTAAAATTGTGATGTATGCCTGGAGAATTGACTCCACGAGCTCCTCAACTGCTATCTCTTGTCTTCTCAACTCAGTAAGTCCACCAGGCTTTGTGTCACTTTTCCATTTTTGCACTGTCTGGAAATTTCTTAGACAGAAAGCCAGAGTGAACATAGAACTCATCTCATTTATTTTTCATCTATCAGGGATCACAAATCTGCACTGTCCATTATCCAATGTCTGAAAACACTGTTTTATATATTAATACCTCATCCAATTTTCTAGTGGGTTAATGGGAAAATAGTAAATCTGGACCCAGTTAATCTTTCATAGATGGAAGCAGAGCAAACGGCTTTAGTGGGACTAATAGTTGCCCAGTTTTAGATTACATTTCTCAATCAATTTTGACCAATAAGTATGAGCAGAAATAATATATCTAAATTCTAGGCCATGTCTTTCACAAGGAAGCTGCTTGCCTCTACTTTCTTTCTGCCCTTTCCACTGACTGGAAAATAGTAACAATCAGGAGGTTCACCTCCTTAGAAATAGAACCCATGTGTTGATGATAGCAGAGGTTCCCCAGCATTTTCCCCTCCCTAGACCTCTGGCCTCTGGCCTTCCATCCCTTTATGGGGTCTCTTCATTATAGTAACTTAGATTGTAATTCACTAATAACATTTTTCTATACCAAACTCATTGACTATCTTTTCCACAAATTCTTGTAGTTACTAAGAGAACAACCTCATTGTATTCATCAAGTTATTAACCTACATGTCATCTTTGAAATGTCTCCCTTCCTCCCTGGCCCCTGCAAATGCCACCTTCTCAATATTTCTACAACCACATATCCCTTCTCTCCATCTACACTCTAGTCATACTGAACTAATTTCTATTCTCCAAAACTGCTCTCTCTCCCCTCTTCTCTTTGGGTTTTGCACAATTATACTCTCCCTCTCCCCTACTTCCTTGAATAGTTTTTAATCATTCTTCAGATCTCAGCTTTGAAGGCATTTTTTAAAAGAAAACTTTTCCAGCAGCCAAGTCCACTTCAATGCAATTAGCACTGGCATTGTATTTGTTTGTTTACTTGCCTGAATACTTTTTTAAGGATAAGAACCTGCACACATATGTTTGTTGTAGCTCTATTAACGATAGCAAAAACATGGAACCAACCGTGTTGCCCATCAAAGCTGGACTGGATTTGAAAAATGTGGTACATATACACAATGGAATATTATGCAGTCATAAAGAAGGACAAATATATGGACGGTGCAGCAACTTGGGTGGATTTGGAGTCAATCATACTCAGTGATTTATCACAGAAACAAAGAACAGAGTTCCATATGTTCCCACTCATAAATGGACCTTGAACAATTATAATGCTATAAGAAAGTGATTGGCAGTAGTGGGAAACTGTCAGGGCGGCGGGGGCTGGGATTGGCAGTTGAGGGAAACTGCTAGGGGAGGAAGGGGCATACCTCATCAACAAGGATACCTGCATGATCAATGTTTATATATCTAACTCTGAAATGTACCCCACATCTTTATAATAAAAATTTTTTAAAAAGAACCACATCTTATTCACAGATGTGGTGCTAAATCTGAATATGGTGACTTCTAAATAAATCAGCTTATTTATGATGTATTAATTCTCTATGGATAAACAAAACCCTCCTCTGGGTGAGTCCTGAATGGCCCTGGAAAGAGTAATCATCAGATGTCTTTCTATTTCTCCTTCTACATTAAGAAATTTAATCTTGTGAGCATGGTAGCTCACGCTTGTAATCCCAGCATTTTGGGAGGCCGAGGTAGGAGGATTGCTTGAGCCCAAGAGTTCAAATTCAGCCTACGTAACGTAACAAGACCTTGTTTCTACAAAAAGATCAAAAACTTATTCAGGCTACATGGGAGGCTGAGGTGGAAAGATCACCTGAGCCCAGGAGGTAGAGGCTGTAGTGAGCTGTGATCCTAGCACTGCACTCCAGCCTGGGTGACAGAGTGACACTCTGATTAAAAAAAAAAAAGTAATTTTCTGTTACTTTAATAGAGCTATTTGTGTGTTGACTGAGAAAAGGTATAAGGTGGGGCTAGAAAAAAAATAATGAACTGGTTTTTAATGAAATAATTTTCTGAGTTTCAAAATTTTGCTTAGAAATTTTGTTTCAGAAGCAAATAGATTGGGGTATAATAACAGGGTAAATTTTATAGATTTTCTAAAATTGTTATTTTCTTTTTCTTTTTCTTTTTCCTTTTGAGTTGGAGTCTCACTCTGATGCTCAGGCTAGACTATAGTAGCACACTCATGGCCACTGCAGCATCAACGTTCTGGGCTCAGGCATTCCTTCTTCCTTAGCCTTCCAAGTAGCTGGAACTACAGGTGTGCACCACCGTGCTGAGCTAATTTTTCTTGACTTATTGTAGCAACGAGGTCTTACCAAGTTGCCCAGATTGGTCTCGTACTCCTGGACTCAGGCCATCCTCTCACTTTCACCTCCCAAAGTCCTGGGATTACAGGCTTGAGCCACCATGCCTGGTCTGAAATGGTTATTTTCTCTACAATAAATCAAAAAATGAGCCGGGCATGTAGTGCGCGCCTGTAGTTCCAACATATTTGAGTGATAATTTATTTAGTGAATGGTAGAAAGAACGCTTTTTGTTAAAGTACCCTGGGATCTCAAATGATCTCATTTTTTGCATAATTTAATAACATGACAGTATCAAACATATTTTCTGTGAAATGCAATTTAATAAGAGTTTAATCACAAAGAGGCAAAGGCAGATTGGCCAAGATGAAATGTCAGAGACATAAACCTCAAAGAGAAATCTTCCACTTTTATGTAATAGTGCCAAACAAATAATGCCAAAACATGACTTTCTGTTTTAGACTCCAGATAGTCCAATCTGTTACAAAGACATAACGTAGTGTGGTGTTTCTCAACTAAAGAAGGTTCAAAGTACTAACTGGGAGCAAAATCATGCACAGTTTTACCCAAAGTCTAGGTCAGTTCCTGTCCCTGTACCTTTTCCCCTGCTTTTTTTTTTTTTTTTTTTTTGAGGTGGAGTCTCACTGTCACCCAGGCTGGAGTGCAGTGGCAAGCTCACGACCACCACATCCTCAACTTGCTGGGCTCAGGCAATCCTTTCACCTTGGCCTTCCAAGTGGCTGGGACTACAGGTGTGAGCCACCACGCCCAGTTAATTATTTGATTTACTGTAAACATGAGTTCTTGCCAAGCTGATCTTGAACCCGTGGGCTCAGGCAATCCCCTCATCTCGGCCTCCCAAAGTGCTGGGATTATAGGCGTGAGCCACTGTGTCCAGCCTTCCCAGTGTCTTTTTACCAAACTAATCTCTCCTTCTAGCAAACCAAATGAACAACCTAAAAAGTCAGAAGCTGTTCATGCTTGTTATCCTTCTCTCTGCTCTATTTTTCATTTCAATTTTAGTAATAAAGTATATTTTAACAGTTTATCTTAGTCCTCCATTCCATTGATATCCATCATCCTTCAGCATACTATCATTTATTTTTGGTGGAGACAGGGTCTTGCTATGGTGCCCAGCCTGGTCTTGAATTCCAGGCCTCAAGTAATCCTCCTGCCTCTGCCTCCCAAAGTGCTAGGATTACAGGTGTCACACACTATGCCCCATCTAACTCCTTTTTTTTTTTTTTGAGTCAGAGTCTCACTCTATCACCCAGACTGGAGTGCAGTGGCACGTTAATGGCCACCACAGCCTTGACCTGCTGGGTTCAGGTGGTCCTTCCGCCTCAGCCTCTCACGTTGCTGGCACTAGAGCCGCACACCACTACGCCTGGATAAGTTGTTTTGATTTATTGTAAAGATGAGGTCTGACCAAGTTGCCTGGGCTGGTCTCAAACACCTGGGCTCAGGCTATCCTCTTGGCTCCACCTCCCAAAGGGCTGGGATTACAGGCATGAGTCACCATGCCTGGCCCTCATTTGTGTTTTATCAGTAGAAATAAACACTCCTATTCCTTTGCTATAGAAAAGAGAAAACACACAGTTACTCTCCAGGCAAATTTAGAAAGTGGGTAAGGTAGAAGCCCTGGCATACTTACCTGCCACGCCGGCCCACTGTCCAAATGCTACTACTCGGACACCTCTATGGTCCACCATTTTCTCATAATCAATAAGTCGAATTTCCTGCAGAAAAGATAAGAAATTACTATTCAGACAGACCCATTAAGCTTAATGTCAATGAGTAAACCACACATAGGAGCAAGTAAGTACTTCACATTATTTTCCTCTTAAATATATCTTGACTTGCTAACATCAATTCCTATCAGGTGTACCACGAAGTATTTAGAAAATGCCAGGTTACAAACCAATGGTAGGTTTGTAACTAGAGATGAAAGAATGATCTTAGCAGGAACTAAACACCCCTTGAGGGTAAGCAATGAAGTAATAAAGGCCGAATTTCCTTTAACATTGGCTCCCACTCCCAACTATTGAGCACCATCTACAAATATACCTATAGCCCCACTAATCCTTACATCCTTCTCCTGGGCTCAAAGACAACAGATCTCTCCTGTGAGCTAGATTCCAACTTTTCTCATGTGCTCTAAGACCTCCATCCTTGAACTATTGCCTCTCTCCTGTGTGTCTCTTCTACCTCGAAAATAATAATACTCCTTCTCAGGTTCACACACAAATCTCTCTCCTTCCCATCTTCCTTCCCTTACTCCCTCTTACTCCTTTTTCTTGCCTTCTCTCTCTCTCTCTCTCTCTCTCTCTCTCTCTCTCTCTCTCTCTCTCTCTCTCTGTCTCTCTCTCTCTCTTCCCCATTCCCTCTTCCTTCTCTCCTTTTCTTTCTCCATTCTTTTATACATAACCTTCATTTAAAAAGTAGCACTTGCTGCCGCCTACTTTTTCTTGTCTTCACTAAAAACACCTTCTTCCTCTTTGCTTGGAAACCTTTCCTCTCTCTTGGAAATACCTTACTAAATCATAATGAAAATGAAAACCTATTGACACATTGCAATTGCATAACGTTTTAAATAGTCAATTCATTTCCTCAAAGAGCATATGATTCATCATGTTCATGAATTTAAGAATGTTTAACATCCATCCAATGCTAAGTAATTGGTTACAAAATATTGCCATAAAGCAACCCCACTGGGTCTGTTTTATTAATTTTCTTGTAATAAACAAAAATTCAAATAACAAAAATAAGTTTCTAAAGTATTTCAAAGTTTTTTATTTAAGATGAAACTTAAGTATCTTATTCTTTTTATATTATTTCTATTAATTACTTTTGAGTGTGTTATTCAGAAACACTGCAAATTAAATGTCTCTTAAGTCTAGTGTATTTGGAAGTAATTGGAAAGTATTCTAGATGGGTGTGGTGACTCACACCTGGAGGTGAGAGGATTGCCTGAGCCCACAGGTTTGAGATCAGCCTGGACAGCATGGTGAGACTTCGTCTCTACAGTAAATAAAAAAATTAGCCAGGTATGACAGCGCACACCTGTAGTTCCAGCTACTTGGAAGGCTGAAGCGGAGAATCTCCTGAGCCCAGCAGATCAAGACTGTGGTGGCCATGAGCGTGCCACTGCACTGCAGCTTGGGAAACATAGTGAGACTCCAGCTTGAAAAAAAAAGAAAAAATATTCTATACTCCTATGTAAAATTGATTTTCCTCATTGCTTTTAATACTTCTGAATTCTCTTATCCTCTGTCCTAGTTTCAGATTCCAGTGTCTAATGCTCCAGCATCCTTTCCCCAGGACATAGGCCTTAGACTTCTTTCTCTATCCTCACTCCTTACTCTCAGTGTGACTAGCTCATGGTTCTAGATACCATGTGTATGTGACAAGTACAAAATATATGTTAGAGATGAGCTTCAGACTATATCTAATGGCCCACTTAGTTTATTCTCCTAAATGTCTAATATATTAAATCCGGCAGTCCCTAAACTCTTGATTTTCCCACTCAGACTTGCTCCTCTGGCAGTAACAACAACATTTCAATCGATGGTAACATCTTCAGGCAGCTCAGACCAAAGTCGAGTCATTCCTGACTCCTCTCATTTTTCATATTCCACCTTTATTTCATCAGTGAATCCTGTAAGATTCACCATTGAAATACATCCAGGATCTGTCCATGTAACACAACCTCCACTTTCGTCACACAGGCGCAGGCCGCATCATTTGTAACCTAGAGCTAATAGCCTAGGCTAACAGTTTTTGTAGCAATTCTGCCTCCTCCTCCTCCCATCTCCAACTGCTCTCTATACAATAGACAGAAATAACAGGCATTTTAGAGCATGACCAGGCCGGGCACGGTGGCTCAAGCCTGTAATCCCAATACTTAGGGAGGCCAAGGCAAGAGGATTACCTGAGCTCAGGGGTTCGAGACGAGCCTGAGCAACTCTACAATAAATACATTTTTTAAAAGCCTGAATAGGTGATGCATGCCTGTAGTTCCAGCTACTTGGAAGGTTGAGGTGGAAGACCACCTGAGTCCAGCAGGTTGAGGGTGGTGTGAGTGTGCCACTACACTCCAGCCTGGCAACAGAGTGAGACTCCAACTCAAAAAAAAAAAAAAAAAAAGGGACACGATCTACTCGAAACTTGCACTCAAAAAGACCCTTGGCCCTTTGCACTAGTATTCTCTCTTCCTAAAAGACTTCTCCCCTACTGGCTGGAATGCAAACCAGTGCAAACACTTTGGAAGACAGTGTGACGGTATCTGAAAGAATTAGAAATTGACCTTTCATATGACCCAGCAATTTCCCTATTGGGAATATACCCGGAGGAACTCAAAGCATTCTACAAAAAAGATACCTGCACACACATGTTCATTGAAGCTCTATTCACAATAGTAAAAACATTGAACCAACCATGTTGCCCATCGAAGCTGGACTGGATTAAAAAAAATGTGGTACAAATACACAATGGAATATTATGCAGCCATAAAGAAAGACAAACATGTGAACTTTGCAGCAACTTGGATGGATTTGGAGTCGATCATACTCAGTGATCTATCACAGAAACAAAAAACAGAGTACATGTGATCACTCATAAGTGAAACTTAAACAATTATAATCCTATAAAAAAGGGATTGGCAGCCGGGCTCGGTGGCCCAGCCTGTAATCCCACGCCTTTGGGAGGCTGAGGGGAGTGGATTGCCTGAGCCCGTGGGTTCGAGACCCGCCTGGGCAGCGAGACCTCATCTCTACAATAAATCAAAAAATCAACTGGGCATGGTAGCGCATGCCTGTAATTCCGGCTACTCGGAAGGCTGAGGCGGAAGGATCGCCGGAGCCCAGCAGGTCGAGGGCTGCGTGGCCGGG